AGTGTTGTAAAGAATCACCCTGTATACATATAAAGTAAAGTTTAAATTTTGTAAAGTGATAATTTTCATATCGTTTTTATTCCGTTCGATTTTAGTAATAGCCGTAAATACCCTCTCCTTGCATAGAACGCAATAGTCGATAAYAGAGATAAAATTAAGGTTTTATCTATATGAAATATGATTATTCAATTATTACGAATTAATTTTCCATTGTTTGAAGGCAAGCTTGTTTGAAGGCAAGCTAATACTAGAGGTACATTAAGATTATGGTTTAAAAATAAGAAAATAGATTGAGAAGGAAAAAGATAAAAAGAGTATGTTATTATATAATGCTTCTAATGCACAGTATTATTCAAAAAAGTACAGACGACAGATCACAACAGAACATTTTCTGCATGTTTTAACTGCAGTTAAAAAGCAGTACACACTAAAAAACGTGTAACAAATGCTTTTGCTAAGATTTTTAATAATCTTAATATAAATGTTTTGAATTAAATCATGAATTATGATACCAGTTTTTTAACTGATAACACTAAATTTATAAAGTAGCCAACAGAAACATGGCCGCCACGTTTTTGTTTACATTGAAAGTGTCCCTCCCGATTTAATCTATTCTGTGATGTTACTATGTAAACCACGCAATTTATTGTAATAATAATAAAAATAACAATAAGAGCAATAATTATAATGATGATAATAATAATAGTTTTGACCCAACTCTGTGGACCCAACGCGATACCACCATACTAATTTTAAAATTATTAAAAAGTATAAAATTGTAAAACATAAAAAAAATGTAACTATATATAATAATGGCCATGTGCCGATGTTAATAAATAAAAATATAATATAATAATAGTTATTGTAATAGTAATAGTAAAAAAAATAATAGTAATGATAATATACATAATGAAAGTATATAAGTTGATAAATGGATTTTGCCATCTGAAATAAAGGCAAAAGGGTGCAATATGGCGCTTACACGATGAAATTCTACCAGGAAAATAGTCAATGTCCTATTATAGAATTAACATTAACTGAAATAATATTATTTTTCTATTATATTTTTTGAATTTTCAGATTCCGTGTTTGCGATTAGCGTTGGTGTTCAATTAAAGGTATACTTATCTAAAGGTTAGGTGGTTAGGTCTATCTATACATATCTCTACTTATCTATGTGCATTGTGCATACATACAGTTTTAAGTGTTTTATATCTTTGTCTCTAATCACACCCTCCACTCCGACCTCAAAATACCGTCTTTGAATTAGCGAAAACACATTATAAACGTTTCAATAGCCGCCTAGCCCACCATACAAATCCCTTAATCTCTGACCTATCATCTGTTTCTATCCCAGGTAACCCAACTTAAAGATTAAAAAGACAGTGGTGTCGCGACCGGCTAGCCTAAGTGAATATATATATATATGTACAATTGTACAATAATAACCTAGCCTAAGAAAATCTTATTTATGTCGCAGTACCTCCACTGGGAGGCCTCTACAATCCGTCAAATCTGCCATTTTATATATTATTATTATTATTATTATTATTATTATTTTTTATCTTAGCTTCTATCATCAATTATTCTTATTGT